CTGAGTTTGAATACATGATGCTCCTGCCAGCATTGATTGCCCTGGAACCCCAGGGGATTAACTGCACAGGGAGGGGGAGAACCTCTTCACCCAGACACAGGCGCCAGACTCTTACTTTTGCACACTAGATCCCCCCTTTCCCGCCCTGATCAGAACACTTTCTTTGTCCCAGGCCTACTTCCCCTCTCTCCCAGGCTCCCTTATCCCTCCCCTTGTCCCATGTCTACTTCTTTTTTCCTTCCTTACCACCCATACCACTGCAAGTCCACCATGCTATTGATCGGGGGGAGGAAGGGGTCGGGGAAGCTATCCGCTGTTTTCATCGGGATTGAGGGGTCCACCTTGGTCCACTCGTGAAAGCTCAGTCGATAATCTTTATACGACCTTTCTTCCTCTTGGCCTCTCCCTGGGTTCCTTTCTACCCTTCCTATTCTCAGGACTTTTAGACTTATGACATTATTTGTTCGTTTTTGACTATGTCTTGATTGATACAAGCTTCTTTACTTCTTGCTTGATGGAGAATTGCATGTTATCAGAACACTGTAGGATCTACACGAGAGAGAGAGAGAGAGAGAGAGAGAGAGAGAGAGAGAGAGAGAGAGAGAGAGAGAGAGAGAGAGAGAGAGAGAGAGAGAGAAACACCTTTTGCAAAACATCGAGGTTTTGTTCGTAGCGAAATTGAAACAACAGGATTCGATAACCAAACAGGATATATAAACCAGAAACAAAAGGTTTTGTCTATGATGATGATACAGATACTTCTTATTGTCCTGGTGTGGTGATTTGCATGCCAATTTACGGTCTCTTTCTGAATTTGACCGTGCATGAAGAGCCCTTACGCCACACAGACACCCCCCTTTTGCGCAATCTGGTTTTCGTGGCCCAACGATGTTGAGAGGACGCCGCGATAAATCTTGCCCAACTGATAGCAGCTACAATAGACCACTTGATCTGAGAAGAGCTCCGCGCTTTCCTCATCTTCAAATGCAGGCTCAATGAAATCACAAAGATCGCTGTCGATTGTGGTTTTCGTGAAACGCCATCCACGGACTGGTGCATATACATACCATGACCCAGAGCCGTCGCCTGCCATGAGAATGACTGGCTGGGTTTGTTCCAGTCCAGTTGCATGCACCCTGCCTTTGGGGGGAGGCAGCACCTTGATGTATCCAGGAGCCAGGGAACCCGGTTTCCATCGGGTCGGGAAGTCATCGTCAATAACATGGCTTTGGAAGATGGGGTTCTGGGCGGTTTTGAAGTCGGGAGGAATCTCGAATGCCACGAGCGAAGCTTTTACAGAGGGCGTATTGGAGGGAACATGATTTGTGGCCAAGATGTCCACACGCCCATCGCCGTTCACATCTGCCAGCACAAGGAGATATGAGACATCAGAACACTCTTGTTTTTTTTTTCAAAGGCCAAAACACTCATAGAAAGAACATCAGTCTTGTGTTTCCAAAAATAGACAGTCAGATCTTATCTTTGGGACAGCAGACAGTTCATCTCTGGATATATCCCAAGGCCGTTGCCCTTTGGCCACCATGAAAGGTTGGAGAGTACTAGGAATCAACTCGCCACTGGATTAATTCCATTCGTGTGAAGCAGCACGTGCTGGGAACCGATCCCATTGTCCCATATGGAATTATAAGAGAGCATTTACATGATAGAATACACAGGAACAACATATGTGGTGACATTGAGACTCTCTCTCTCTCTCTCTCTCTCTCTCTCTCTCTCTCTCTCTCTCTCTCTCTCTCTCTCTCTCTCTCTCTCTCTCTCTCTCTCTCTATCTCTCTATCTATCTATCTATCTGTGTGTGTGTGTGTGTGTGTGTGTGTGTGTGTGTGTGTGTGTGTGTG